GCGCATGCTCATAGGAAATTGCGCTTGCGTATCTGTAATAATGTTTCCTATGAGCATGCGCGCTAGGGAGAAAAAGCTAACGGACGTCCAAAATACGGTATGCAAAAACTCTCTACTGTATATGATTCTCAATTTGTCAAATTTTGATTTTTTTATGCATAATTTTATGTACAACAAAGAAAAAAAAAAATCGACACTGGTTAACAGCTAACATTGCTCAGCATCTGCGTGCAAGTGTCGTGCTTTATTATGCCAGACGCTTTCACGAAGGTAGAAACTTTGCTCTACGTTATAAATGCTGCTCGCAAGTTTTATACACCAGTGTATATGCATACACATGTCTATCTATTTCCGTCACAGCAGTGTTAACCCCTTAATATTATAAATTTCTTTTAATTCCCGGACAATAACGAGATTTCAACTTCATGTTGCTTTGAAAAGTTCCGTTCGAAAGTTGGCTAGGACAATCTGTTCAATAATTTTCTGAATATTCTAAACTTTGTAATATTTTTCAGTCCAATTTAGGCCTACCACTTCGCAATATGTCTGTTGTAGCACTGTTTCTTCTCTAAATTTCGAATCGTGATCCTGGTTGGTTTATTTGTCATTGTGATTTTTTTTCCTCCAAATTTAATACTCACTGAAGCATAACACGTAGTTTTGAAATACTGTTTGGCAATTTTCCTCTAATGGCGTCTTTTTTATACGGATGTTAGCAGAATTAAACTTGGGCATGTAGATTTGAAGTACCTGTACTCCATCTGAAGAACATGAATTGAACTATATATTTCCCTGTAACACAAGTATGTGCCTTCATTAATGAAAAAGTTGTTAGTAAATTCGTAGATATATCGACTTTTGAATCACATGGTTTGAATCGACTTTTTAAAATCTGGTCCTTCATTTTGAATCATAAGGTTATTCAAAACGAAGGATCAGATTTTAAATTTTAATTTACAATGAACTGTCCAGTGATGGGTCGCATGTTACACATCAATGGATAGATGAAAGTTCAAAGTTATTTTATGCTTCCTACGTGAGCACCGTTTATTATACAACGAATGTAAAATTGGGACATCTGCTCTTTTGTTTTGAATGTACAATAACTCAGTAAGGAAGAGATTTTGTTTATGCTATGTAAGACCGTTGAGATGAGAAATGTAAATTAATTAGGACAGGAGATAAAGTTCAAAATTGTTTTATGCATAATTATTTTTAAACGTGAGCATCATTTGTTATACGAAAAATATAGCATTGCGACATCTGCTTCTTCATTTTGAATAATCCTAAGTGACTTAGTAAGCAAGAGCTTTGCTTAGGCTCTGTCAGACCGTTGAGATGAGAGATATCAGTTGGTTAAGATAGAAAATATTCCAAATTTTAAAAAATTTAAAAATAAAATGAAAAATTGAAGGAGAACTACAGGTTATTTAAAATGAAGGTGCACATTCTACGTTTGTCGCGTAATAAATGTGTTCACATTAACAGCATAAAATAACTGGACTTTCCTCTATCCATTGATGTGTAATATGTTGTCCATCTTTACCACGTTCATTGTAAATAAAAACTTAAAATGTGAACCTTCATTTTGAATAACTCTGTAATTATAAAATTAGTGAATATTTTTTATTACTATGAATTAAATACAACTTTTTATTGATGTACTACCATATTTTGTTATATCTTTTATGTGTTATTTTTTTTAATTAGTTTTATATTGTTTTAATTTGTGTAGATACAAATTTACTGAATAGCTAATTTTTCATTTACACAATTTCGAAGTTAAATACAACCTATTTTTTTGTCAAAAATGTTTTTCCAAGCAGCGCAGCAATTGCGAATCCATCCGTAGTTTTCCGAATTTCTTTTTTTAACAATACGTCAACGAGTTGTTACACGAGAGAACAATTTTTTCCCCGAGTCGAAATGTTTCTCATATTCGTACTATTTGCTGTCCCGAGAAGTTCAATTCTTTGCCAGTGCTCTTAAGAAGTCTATTTTCTTCTTAAACCATGGCATCTCCAGGTTCAAAATCGTGCTTTAAGGGATAAGGCACGATGTTCGAAGCTCCTTTAGGAATAAAATGGCTTGGCTGGAAAATCTGCAAACTTCGTTCTTCCTTCTTTTTCGATATGTCTACGGAGGTCGCATATATATGTGTGTTGTTGTTCTTTTTCGAAGATTTTTTCTTGCATTGTTTTGGTTCTTTCTTGTAGGAATTGTTTTTGACATATATTTTAATTATCCGTACATGTTATAAACGATAATGATGCCCTATATTAAAAATAATGTCTACGTAGGTCGCATACATATGCGTGTTGTTCTTTTTCGAAGATTTTTCTTGCATGGTTTTTGCTGTTTTCGTATGAATTGTTTTTGACATATATTTTAGTTATTCATACATGTTTAGATCTTTATTGAATTGATGTAGGAATTCATGTATGAATTGAAAAGATAATGATACCATGTACTAAAAATGATGTCTATGAAGGTCACATGCTCTTTTTCGACGATTATTTCTTGCATTGTTTGGCTCTTTTTTATTTGAATTTTGACGAATATTTTAAGTTGCGATATATTATTATTCGTGCCGGTTATATAAGATAATGATACCATATACTAAAAATAACGTCTACGAGGGTCCTATATATGTGTTGTTCTTTTTCGAAGATTTTTTCTAGCATTGTTTTTGACATATATTTTAATTATCCGTACATGCTATAAAAGATAATGATGCCATATACTAAAAATGATGTCTACGAAGGCCGCATTTATATGTATGCTGTTATTCTTATTCGAAGATAATAATATGTAATTATAAACACTATAATTCATAATTTTGGTTTTTTTATTGAAATTATTTATACAAGGAATACATATTTAACTGCACAAGGAAAATTGATTTTTCAGTCTCAAATGACATATTTTGAAACGTTTATAGATAATTTACACATAAACAATAGGATATGATTATGTATTTATGCATTTTTATAGTTATGTTTTTCTTTTAGCTTTGAATTTTTGTATATTATTGATATTCAAGTTACGATTTATGATACTATTCAAAATATCAACTTTTTGGATGTGCTTTTAAGATTTCACGCGAATATATATCAGAATTTTTATATCATTTCAAAGTAATTTTTTAAGTTTTTTCTATACAAAATTTATTTATAAATTTAAACGTTGTATATTTTTATGAGACATATATTATTAAGCAGTACTTCAAACGTTATTTTTTTGTAAATAACTTTGGAATTCATATCATAGTAAATTAATAATTTTACAAAAAACTTTGAACTAATTGTATTTGTTTTTCTTAATTCACCTAATGATCTAAATTTTTAATTGTAGAGTAAATTTATCATACTGTTATGATAATTATGAAATAAATGTAGTAATAAAAATATATCAGAACAATAATTTAAATTCAATTGTTGTTGTCTTCGCATAACAAAATTTAGAAATAATTACACAAAAATTGATAAAAGTGATAAACCTTTAGGTTATAAATTATCAAATAAGTAATTTATTAATATCCAGAAAATTTTTAATGTAACTGCATTCATCATTTACTAACAAGTAGAATTTTTTATGATACTTGTATTATTAAGCAGTACTTCAAACACATTCTTTAAGTTATCTTTTGTAGATAATTTTGAAATTCATTACTTACATGAGAAAACAAAAACGTTGAATTGATGGTATTTTTTTTTCTTAATTCACCTAATGATATAAATTCTTAATTGTGGAGTAAATTGATCACATTGTTATGATAATTATGAAGCAAATGTAATAAAAAAAAAATATCAGTTTTTGTTATAGTGGCATAATAAAATTTTAAAATAATTACATAAAAATTGATAAAAGTAATAAAAATTCAAAGAATATTGATGATATGAAAATTTTTTATTATAAATTGTCGAATAATTAATTTATAAAATTTGTAGAAATATCCTAAAAATTCATCATGAAACTGCATTCATCATTATAAACGCCATATAATGATGCATAGTCTCTTTTAACATCAAAATGTTTTAAGGGAGAATATGGAAACAGTCTTTTGCAGAATGATTGTCAACTAAGCACAGTGAGTTTTCTCAAAGACGCTTATGTGCATACATAATGCTCTAGGCGTTTTATGTAACTATTTCATCTGTATTTTGAGAAAGCCAGACATATATGTTAAAATTGTATAAAACTAAAATACTTTGTGTCTAAAGATTTTAATATAGTAGCCAGAACTATTATTTGAAAATATGAGTGCTCATCTAATGTTTAAATTCTCTGGAAAATGCGTTAAATTTTAGTTTAAATAGTTTGTAAACTTCTACTAGAGTCTTTTATCCAGCTTAAATATTAAATTTCATTAAAAGTAACTGTATACGCTATTCATTTTTGTATGCTATTAGTTACTGCAGTTTACTTTTCTTTAGTAAGTAATAATGTTTTAATAATTTTGGATATAAAAATAATCGTTTTTATCCAATACTTTTCGATAATCGATAAATTTATGGGTTTGAAATAGAAATATTCAGAAAACTATTTAATTACTGGTGTAGCATTTTTTTTCTCACGAGAAGAGTTTTGGCATTTGATTCTCAGGAGAGAGGAATGTATGTTATTTGACGAGTATAAAATAACAACTCATCACTCGAATTTGACAGCAGACAAGCATTAGTGTGGGTAGTTATACTACATGCAATTAGTGTTTTGTTGTTGTTGTTTCTTATCCCACTTGGCTGGCCAAGCCCACGAGCCCATATGGACTCATGATTGAAGGGGAAGGAAGCAGCTTCTGTTGTGATGGAGCACCCGTAGGTAGAAGCCTGACTTTTGCTCCGTGACGCTCTTACAGTCATGGAAGACCGGGACCTACGGCTTAAAGTGGATTCCGAACCACTACAAACATCCATGGCACCGCCGGGATTCGAACCCGAAACCTGTGGCACCGAGCGCCAGAGCGCTAGACACTCGGCCATTCAGGTCCCAAATTTGCCAACGGCACGCAGTGTTCCCAGGTGGTCACCCACCCATGTACTGACCGCGCCCAATGATGCTTAACTTCGTACTTATGAGAAAACCTGTCACCCAAATCTGATAGCAGATATTCGGTATCATGCATAATGAGACTCAGGAAATTAGCAAATGTCAGTGTGGCCTTCACAACTACAGATTGAATATGAACTATATCATGAGTTGTTCCGTCGTGATTGGTGATCGACCATGAGCTCATATATGTCTACTCCAATGAGAAGTGAGGGAAGCTGACCCTCCCTCTGGACGGATTGTCTTAAAAGGCGTAGTAGTAAACTTCGACGTAGACTCGAGAACTCTGGAAATCTCTAACCATGGAGTGAACTGCACTTGCGATTTAATCGCGCATTTGTGAATCAAATTTAAATCTTTAATTTTCCTTTTTTGTAAATGATAAATTATAATAATCCAGATTTCTGCATGTGTATACATATAATGCTTGTAAATAGAAATTAAATTCAAATGATCCTGAGGTTTAGTATAGGCCGTGATGTTACACTGGAAATTATATTTTTGTTAGTTATAGAAAGTATTTTTTTTCATTTAGAAAAAATAATTAAGGGTATATTATTATATGATTAAAAATGATGTAGTTTTTAAAACGAGTAATGATATTCTTATGATTTTTTTAAATAATTCTGTGTTATGAAATTAGAAAGACAAAATCAAAAATTGTTTTTATATTCTTGGTCACTGATGTTTAAAAAAGTAGTTATATAGAATCTATATGATCAGTAGTTTTCAACTTTTTACTTCTTTTCTTTCTTAGTTAACCCTTTTTTATTAATTTTGTTAGTATTATGCATATTTAAACATGTAATATTAATGAAATCAAACCAATCTTAACCGATTGATGGATTAATAGGATTCATGTAACTTAAGAAATATTTATTATTTGGGATGTCATTGGAATTTAATTATGATTATCACGAGTCATTCTAAGAGAAGGAATTTGTATTTTCTTTCTATGAAAGAATTTTGCCATATGAAGCCAGAATCAAATCATTATTAAAAAATAAGTGCCTTGTAAATAAGTGCCTTGTAAGTGCCAAATCATTAAGTGCCTTGTAATAATCTTTATTGGAAAAAAAAATATAATAAATGAGAATAAAAGAAATTTTGAAAGCCTTATTGCATTAGAAGTATGCATATTTTTATGTTTTTTAAAGTTATTTAACAGTTTTTTATTTTTTGTGATAATTAAGTAAATTTTTTATTTAAAATATGCTTAAATCATTATTAAGCTTATTAATAATATGATTTATTCATAATTAAATCATTACCATCATTAATATATTCTTAAATCATAATCATAATCTTAGTCATAATATACTTAAATCATAGTTCATCATAATCATATATTACATCATATCAAGCCAGAATCATAAATCTTACAATCATAATCATAAATATGCTTAAAGCATATATCATCATAATCATATTTTACATCATATCAAGCCAGAATCATAAATATGCTTACATCATATGCTTAATCATATCATAAGGTGTAAAAATTAAATTAAAGTAGATCATCATTTCAGTTGTATTTCAAAATCGCATTTTTACCGTATTCTTAATTTCAAATCAGTATTTTTGATTTATTTCATTTCAAAAGATTCTGATTTATGGTTTTTTTTTCATAAATCACGAGGAAATTCCTGAAACTTATCGTTATAGACTCATAAATCCTCAATCTTATATAAAATATATTAATTTCAATTCATTATTTTTTTACATTTATTTTTATTTAATTTCAAAAGATTATGAACTTTTTAATATAATATATCAAATTAATAAACATATATAATAAATTAACATATAACTTTTTAACATATATATTAAATTAATTAATTAATTAAAATTAAATTATAATTATTAAAACTTTAATATAATGTATATATATATATATTAAAGAATTTTTTGAAAAATAAAAACTTTTTTCGTCATAAATCACGAGTAAAATCCTGAAACCTATCGTTATAGACACATAAATCCTCCATCTTATAGACAATATATTAATTGACATGTCTCGCAGATTTATTACAGTCTCGTAGATTGTCTACACCAGAAACCAAGCAGATACTGTAAATGGAATAATATTTGTTTTCATTCAGAAATATATTTAAGCATATCAAATGAAGCCAAAGTGTTACATAAAGTGCTTTATTTTGAATCAATAGCTTGTAATATTACGGATCTTTCACTATACTAGTAAAAATGCGATAATAAATGCAAGATATAACAATTTTTTAAGATTAATCTATTTTAGTTAAAAATTAATGATCATGGCTTGTTTTGCATCTTTTAAACCATAATTCCATGCAGATATTTCATCAATTTCAATAACTTCATAGAATATCCTACGAATTTTTTTTTCTTCACTAGGAAATTTATTTTTAGTTGAAAGTTTGTTTACTGTTGATAACAGTATCTGCAACTAAAAGTTTCATTTATCAAATATAATGTTACCGGTAATATAAAATAAATTGAAAATCGTCTAGGAAACCACTGACCCACTCTCCTCAAAACAATACTACTAATTTTACGGGTTAAAAAAATAAACCAACAAGTAAGAAACACTGAAAGTCCTCCAAGGAGCCATGGACATAATCTCTCTAAAACAATACACATAATTTCGCGGGTAATAAAATATTCTAAAATAATTAGTAAAATTATTCTATTATTACTATATTTATAGAAATATTATAATCAATTAATATTAATAATTATAATTAATAGTCTCTTAATAATAATAATATTAATCTATTGATACAATAATAATTATTCTACTACTAATTATTCTAAATAATAATTAATAATTTGCCACAATGTTTAAAAATTCTTATCTTTTAAGGAAATTTTTAATTAAAAAATTATTGCGAATAGGATATTTATATTTAAAATTATTGCCTTTATTTGTATTTTGCTTTATTGCTATTTTTTAATAATTGAATACTTTTGTTTCATAATTCTAAGTATTATCTTTTATATTTTGAAATTAAATAAGAAAAGAGTTGATCAAGTCAAAATTAAGATCAAAGTATGCAGATGAATATTGATTAATCATTCTAATGATGATCAGTCCTTGAAATGTTACTGATTTCTGTCACCATGAAAAACTTGCAATTACATCATTTGATCCAACATGATCATTAACAGAAAGTTATTAAAAAAGTAAAAACAAATCTTAATTCAAAATCTATGAAGGCAACTAAAACGAAAAAAGGCTATCCCTGTCAAATTTTAAAACACGTTCCACAAAAGAAGCTGTATGCAGATGAATATTGATTAACCATTCTAATGTTGATCAATCTTTGAAATGTTACTGATTTCTGTCACTATGAAAAACAACATGATCCAAACATTGATCCAAACATGATCCAAACATTGATCCAGACATGATCCAAACGTTGATCCAACATGATCATTAATAGAAAGTTATGAAAAAAGTGTAAAAAAATCTGAATTCCAAATCTATGAAGGCAGCTAAAACGAAAATACTGATTCCTGTAAAAATATTCTAAAACAACTGAAATACTGATTTCTGTGACTACGAAAAACTTGCAATTATAGCATTTGACCCAACATAATCATTAATAGAAAGTTACCCAAAAAGGGAAAAAATCGGAACTTCAAATCTGTGAAGGCAGCTAAAACGAAAAAAGGCTATCCCTGTCAAATTTTAAAACGCGTTCCACAAAAGAAGGCCCAAACCACAGACCTGTCGTGCCCGGAATTCCAAAAATGTCACGCCAATAAATAATTAAATTCATCTCTCTTTGCTACGTCCCTCTAACGAAATAATCACGCACGTGGCCATGAAAAGATTGATTGGAAATTGCGTTAATTTGATATCGAAAACGGGCACCATAAATTATTCTTTTTTAATTGATTGGCGGGGGTGATAATTCGGCGAGCGTGGCAAACCTCCGTTGCCGGAATGATCATTCCATCCAAGTGAGTTGTCAGGATGTTCGATTTCATTAGCGTTCGAATCGCGGAGATGTGTTCCCGCCAGGTTTTAACTTTGTTCCCATTAATTACCATATTGTAGCGATGGCAATAATTGTTATACTTTTGTGGGGTTTTCCCAGTCACTTGCTCGAATAATTTATTTCCCTCTCTTCCATTTTCTGCGTTGTAAATGGGCCGGGAGGATTGTTCCAACAGTAAAACGCAGACGATTTTGAAAAGTTCTATAAATTACGTTAAGAGGAGAATAAAGATTGTCTGTCCGACGCCCGCTAAATTAGCCATCTGTTGTGGGATTATACCAAACGAGATTTATTTCGGAATATTCGAACCATATCGTTCTTTATTAGTCATTTCTGGAGAAATTGCGTCACTTCAGTTGGAGGCATTTTAATGGAGAATTTTATAATAGGGGGCTAAAAACGAAGTTCCTTTTTCTTTTAGAGAAATCTTCCTTGATTACGGAAATAAACTGTACTATATTTTAAATGATTCCGTTTTATAAATGTAATATTATACATTTGTTAATTACTTCTTTTAAACGATTGTTCCAAGTGTTCTTTTTAAATAGTTTATAAATCTGCTAAGATTGTTGACCACATTATAATGGCAGGGATATTTTAATGTAAATTTCAGTTATCAGTGCAGATCGGTAATTATTATTAGAAAATTATCGACCTGCATACTATATCTGATCAGTTTTCTGTAATTTCGAACGATCATTTCAAAGAGATTACGACAAATTCCTCTATTGGATGGTTTGATGGTTCCGTATTTCTACAAGCCGTCGTTATTATCGGGTTCAATAACTCAATTTCTTTTCCTATGATAGCATTTTTTCTCACGAGAAGATTTTTGACATTTCATTCCCAGGAGAGAAGAATATATAATCTTTAACAAGTAAATAATAACAACCTATCACTCATATTTGATAGCAGTGTTGTGGATAGTTATATTACTTGCAATTAATGTTTTGTACTAATGAGAACAACCTGCAACTGAAATCTGATAGCAGATATTCGTTGTCATGGATAATGAGATCTCGTGAAATTAGCGATTGTCTGTGCGATC